TTCTTGTTTGTATAATAGGACAGGATACTTGATAAATGGACTCACCCGTATAAGCTTACTTATCGTTTTCGTTTAAGGAATTTTCCGTTGCTTGACCTTCACCACCTCGACGTAAATTTATGAATTGGAATACAATTTCCTGGTTGCTGCGGCATTTACATTTTGCTGCTTCTTACTCGAAGGACCAATGTTGGATTAATCATTGTTGATCTAAAACTTGATATTTGAATACGTTTATTAATACATAATTGGAATGTAACCAACGACGTTTACATGTGCATTCTTGTTACATGAATGAATAAATCTCACAGACGATGTGCGCAAACGATTGCGTACGGCAAACTCATGGTCCGCAACCCAACATACATCAGTGATGATATAAAGAACTTAACACCCTTATTTAAGGAAAATTTTAAAGAAGGGTAAAAAAGCTTTGAGTCACTTACTGAGAAAGAAGAAGAAGTAATTCAGGATTTTTTTCAAATAAACAAGTTCTTTGACCGGCCAAACACACAAACATTTACTGAACAGATAACAATAATTGCCAAGGAAATATTAATAGAGACCCCAAAAAGATTTATTACCAAAATTCGTGAAGGGGTATCACCAGAAAACTACAGTGCATTCTGGAACATGTGTGATTTTAGCGTTCTGTTGGAAATGCAAACCCCTACTCCTACAAAAAGTTGTGAACTGTTTGTCTACTGATTTACAGCTAACAAATCAGGAAAATGAAGTTCTACATTATTTAACAATGTATATTAATTGCCTTGACAAAGACCAATTATCTAAATTTGTTTTTTTAATTACTGGTTCATTTTTAATGCCAACCTGTATTAATTTAAAATTTGATGATTTAGCAGGGCTTAGTCAAAGGCCGTTATTTAGTACCCGTTCTGATACATTGACACTATCTAGAAATTACGGAAATTATACTGAGCTCAAAAATGATTTAAATATTTGCTTAAATAGTGAAGAAGCAAAAGAATATACATCATATTGATGTTGCACTTTCATGCAAGTAGTATGTGTATGTAGATACTATAGTGTTACATTTATACTTTAGAGATTAATCACTTATATTTGTAATGAAACATTTGTTGCAATAAAGAAGGTATTTTTATCGGTTCTGAAAATTAAAAAAACCAGAACCTGCACTTGTTCAAATTTTTTTTGTATTGATCAATAATTAGAAGAAATAATAATAGCGCATCTCACTTTAATAGTGCCTTTTTTTCAGAGCTATATGAATT